AATTTGTAAATTACATATCAGAAGGAGTGCCACACTTAGCAGATTATCTAGAACCCTTTGGACTCTGAATATGTCATAAAGTTAAGCTAGGAGGATTTTAGATTAAGAGTACGATGATGCGTTTGGAGAATTAAAACACGCCGTACAACAAGCAACTATGATACAAGTACAAGTATGGAATACCCTTTGGAATAGTTGCTGAAGCATCAGACTTGGCACTATGAGGCGTCCTATATCAGGTTATAGATGACAAACCTCAATATATGCAGTCCTTCAGTATAAAAGTAATGATTGCTTCACAGTTAAATTGTCGAACCGCAAAGTAATAAATTCTAGCTATAGTTACAGCAACAACGGACTTTAAAGATTTCTGTTCGGAATAGCATTTTCGCTGTTATGTGTGATCAGAAGTCCTTCAATATATGAAAGAGCTGAAGCCAGACTCTGAGTTATAGAGTAGGCGGCATGATATGGTATTAAAATTGCACTTCAATATTAAACACCTACCTGGGATACACAATCATATACCCGAAGTGTTACCCAGAATTGTATCCGGCTATAATAAGTTGGGACGAGAGCTCCTAGCCACCGATTGGAAATGTAGTTCACTTTGGTTTGAATTAGTCCAAAAGATATTTGGACCACATGCTATGTATATGTTTATACCCGATATGTTATGCAGGTTTGTAGCCGACGTTAGTAGGTCGGTACGCGAGCTCCTAGCCATCGACTTGAAATGTACTCCACGTACATACTATAGATATGTTTGCTGTGCATCATAGAGCACACTTAAAAAAAGATTATAAACCGTTAAAACATCCTTTAGGAGATGCATTTCAAATAGATCTTTACAAATATAATGAGTAACCCACCGTGGCAGTGAACTACCTATTTATTAAACTACAGTCATATACACAAAGCTACCATATCATTGTGTTGTTCATTACGAAAATCATATCCGTGGTTCATAGAAGCTTATAAGCATGATACAAAGTGAGCCAATATATTTAAATACAGAAGTAGATACTTTTCTATATCAGGGTACCCGAGCAGTCCAAGGTCCAAACGTCTCTCTAGAAACATACTATATAAATATGTTGTATAAGTCCTGTAGGTACGACCACATGGACCCTCTCAGAACCCCTTCTTAAAAAGGTTAAAGAGTCAGAGTTTCCACTCTGTATTAACTTGAACGTAAACCAGTTTAAGGACAACACTGCACCTGAAGTTTGTGCACAAAAAAAAATACAATCTACTACAGATAAAACTGCTACGAAGCGCCAATCTCTGGCTCAAACCAACTTTTTTATATAGAAATATAAGATCGGAGCCGGAATTTATTCAGACACTTTTCTTAAAGGGACTTATGAAGGATATTCCTTCAGAATATACACATATAATGCGACTATTAATTAAGTCGAGTGTAGCTAATGCTTACGAGAACAATAAATAGGCCCAGATTAAAGAAAGCACGGGGGTCTGGATACACTACAGACTTAGAGAACACGCAAGTCGATTCTTTATATCCTACTTTTGTTTTGGACTAGCAGAATGAGGAAAATACCAATACATAGCTCATAAGCTGAAGTACCAGAATACAGTAGGAGCCCGCAAAGACGCCAAGCGTAATGGAATAGCGATTTTAGTGGACAGTGTATATCAGTCATGTACGACTGTGACCTCAATTAGATCAAGCACTATGGATTCGGACCTCTTAAGAGTGTGATTGAAAGGTCCCGTACCGCAGGGTCATCTTTGATCTGATTGGCCTGCCTACATCCGCGCACGCGGGCGACTGCTGTTACGTATTCTACTTATTTGATGTAGCGTCACGGTTTAACCTTCTCCGTATGATGTGTTCTGATAACGGTAGCAAGTTCTGTGATGACGTAATGTAATCCTTGGTAGTTGTATCAAGCATGTGCCACAAGAGAGATGTCCTATACCAACCACAAACAGAAGGCACAGAAAAAACACGCAATAGAAGACTTAAGCTCTTCTTGCGTGCTGCATTGTCAGATGATGCAGATGATTGGCTGTACTAAACGGGTATAGTGCTGGTCTTGTATATAATACGGGAGCAACCCCCGTTCACTATTTTCGTGGCAGATATAATGAGCTACAAATACCTCAGAACAAGCAAAAACCTGTTCGCTATAACGTTGTATATCCTTACTTGAGAGAGACACGGAATATGACTTTACTAAAAAGGCGAATTAGATGGAACAATATCAAAACGATAGCAGAGTATCTAGTCCGTGACCGAGTAAATATCCTTCAATAAGAAATTAAGGCCGAATATACAGGTCCACTCTAATACGCATCAGGCAAAATATGTTTATCCACTTTAATACTCATCAGGCCAAATATATCCATCCAATTTAATATCCATCATATACATAACCATCCCCTTGGTTACTAATCCGAGGCCAAATATATCCACCCACTTTGATACTCATCAGGCCTAATAGATCCATCCCGTGTAATACACATCAGGGCAAATATTTACATCCAATTAATACCTATCAGCCTAATTATATCAATCTACTTTAGTACTCATCAGGCCAAATACATCCATCCACTTTAATACTCACCAAGATAAATATATCCATCTACTTGAATATCTATCAGGCAAAATAAAACGATCCACCTTTATACCCATGGTGTCAGTTATATACATTCACTTAAATACCCATCCGGCCAAATATATCCATCCGCTTTGATACTCATCAGGCCAAACATAACTATCCACTTTAATACCCACTTTAATCTACAGTATGATGTTATATATGAATGTGATGTACTAAGTATATCTGTGCAATACAAGTAAGCCCCCTGCTTTCGCAGGTTAAGTTTTATGTAGACCTTAATGATACTGGCGCGGTATAAGGCAGTTAGACCCTCTCAGACACCCACGCCATATTGATCAGCACCATTTTATTTTCAGGACAGGTCTTTACAACTATTCAACAACTTTAGCCCTAGCGCCCATAGATCGTGTGGCAGCGGGCGACCTATTGGTGTACAACATGCACACACTGAGAACAGAATTATTGCTACCCGCGGACACGTGATCTTATGCCGGTTGACGATTTGCACCTCAATGCGACACCCAAACCTCTCGGTTCCTACAAGTCAATCGCTGTGTGCTGACGACCGCTCAGTATTATCACTGCACCAATGGCAACCAGTGCTTCTACCTATACCTCTTCTAGACACATCGCATTGGCACTGGAGCGATAGTTGGTCTGGCCAGACTCAATACCGAGTCCATTGGATAGTTGTGATTATAGATCATGTGTTGGGGTCTATGGTAATAACAATGACCGAGTCCGTAATTCTCCGTCGCCAGTGTTACTATCCCAGTCTGTCTTGCACCATCATCGGACATCCTCAGATATAAGAGTCCCAGTGACACGGTCGTTAGTCTGTCATATGTAGTACTTCGCACGTTCACGCCATCGCCGCCTCCACCGGCACCGATATACCGGCAGCGTGTCATGGCTCTGTTAGATCGCCATACGACGCGATATTGCACACAGGGCAATCAGTACATTCAACACCAAGCCGTCAGTTACAACAAACATGATCTTTAAAGCCACAACAATGACTCTATAGGGGACTCTTGACAGATGATCAACGTGAACACCACTCCAGCACTGGTAGCGCGCCATCGAGCTTGCCCACGTGTGAAAAGCTCAGACATGGCTACATGGTTTGTACTGACACATAGTTACAGACACCATGACCTCGTAGAGATGGTCACCCGCACTCCAAGGATCCTGATTGTTGGCGCTCGGTTCTGGCTTGATGTACCGGCGGTTGTCGTCAAGCAGGCCGATAATCTCTCCCCGTTTGTCCTAAAACACAATTCGTTAATACTGTCTTTAGCGTGATCACGCAAGTGCATCCCGAAATTAGCCAGAGAATGGGATGTGGTCCCATTCGTTCACGCTGCACTCACTGACCGTATGTAGTAGTGCCTCGCGAGCTATAGTGAGGTACCGATGTGTTCAACCGTAATCGCGATGCTCGTCTTAATCTGAGGCCTTCCTGTATGAGAATGTGACGGTTAGCACAATGATCAGTATACGACAGGACAATATTTTCAACTCCCTGAGATTTACGAGTCCTACACACATGCAAACATAACTAGTATGTTGATCCACATCGAAAAACACTTGTATATAAATATATGATAATAACAATACATCCAAACGCACACACACACACACATATATATATATACATGCATTGTATATATATATATATATTATACATATTATACATATTATACATACATCACATCCACACACACATATATATATACATATACTATATAAAATAATATTTTATACATATTATACATACATATATTATATAAAATAATACATTATACATATTATACATACTATACATATTATACAGACATATGTATACATATATACATATATATACATACACACACACACACACACACACACACATATATATATATATACATATATACATATATATATATATATATATAATACATAAATACATTCACACACATACATATGTATACGCTCATTCGTACGTACATTTACATACATATCTTTATACCCACATGCTTCTATATACGTACATATATACATACATACATACATACACACTGAAATATATATATATATATATATATATATATATATATATATATATATATATATATATATATATATATATATATATAATATATATATATATATATATATATATATTATTA